ATGTAACAAAATTTTTTAATAACTCTTTTTTTAAGTTTTATTATATTCTGAACTTTGACTACCATTTAACATCAAATAGTGAAGTGTTATAATCCTAATGTTTAAATTATTGATATTCTTAAATAATAAATATTGAAATGTTTTTGCTGCAAAATTGCTGAAAATTGGTTGCTGTACTTAATCAAAAATAATTTAGTTCGATGATGAGTAAGTTATTAAATAAAAGCCAGAAACGTTTTCAAAGGTTATTTATTAAATTTTTCACACATTATTTATTATTACAAAATAACGGCATCTACGCATATTTCAACAAAAGCATATCAGCATCAATCAGCAGTGTAAGTAAATAATTATCGGTTTCATTGGAGGTAGTTCAAATTACGGTAATGTATGTGCAAAATTTGTTATTAATTAATTTATCAACTAAATTAATCGAAAAGAAAGAAAAACAATTTAGATAAGTTTCTAAATCGTTTATTAATAAACGGTGAATGATTGTTGTGTTGCTTATTTTAATTAATATCAAGTTTCATAGAGGTTAGGTAAATATGAATAGTATTGGGACGGCCTGTAACGATTTAAAAAAAGAATATGATACATGTTTTAATACATGGTTTGCTGAGCACTTTCTCAAGGGAAATTCTGACGATTCAATGTGTGCTCCCATGTTAAAAATATATAAGGAATGTGTGAAGGTAAGGTAGTAATAGTACTAGATAGTGAGAGTAATTTTTTTTTGTCTAGAAAGCAATGAAAGAACGTCAAATTGATGTTAAAGAGGTCGAAAAGGACATCTTAGGGACCGAAAACGAGCGCAAAATACCTGAGCAACAAGGAAGATGACACTGGGTTTTTGGAATTTGCAACTTTATGTGCACCAACAATTGGACTGATAAAAATCCTCAATGTATAACTAATAATAAGTGGAGAAGTATTAGTGATCAAATTTCTGATGATCCAATTACAGATATATAATGATTATTGATGTTGTTACCAAATAGTGAAGCATTTATTTAATGTTACATAGGCACAGTGTGATGCAACATGTTTTAACGTTTAATTCTTTCCATATTCACATCAGTCAAGGACACATTTAGAATAGGGAAAAATAAATTTTTAGCATAAGTAACTGTAGTTTCTTTAAAAAATTTGTTTTAAGCAAGAGCTTGATCAAAAGTAGAAATATATTACAGTTAACTAACTTCTTTCAATTTCATTTTCCTACTTTAATTATTTAAACAAGAAAAGTCCTACTGTTACAAAAATAACTCAATAACTAAACCAACTTTTGTATTTATTCAGTGAACATATCTAACTTAAATAGTAAAGTACAAATTCATTCTTACATAACTTAAATAAACTTAATTAAATTGCTATTTTATTTTCCTGATACAAACCGCGAAAGTCCTTCCAATAATCCAATATAAGCTGAATGTTCATATGCTGTACTGTAGTCAGAAAGTTTTTCAACAAAATCATTTGATATCCCCTTTTCTTCTAAATAATTCAGTAGCAAATCGTACAAATACTGAAAAGGATAAAAAGAGATTAATATCTAATGCACACATCTAAAACCTTTGTAACATACAGAATCAACAATTTCTCCTGATACAGCATACACATGTTCATTCCACTCTCCATCATAAATACTAATTTCATCAATTTGGAAAATATCATCTAAAAATTGAAATTAATTTTAATTAAGCGATAAGACAGGGCAATGTTTTAATTTACTGTAGGTTTCATCTTGCTGCCCTTGTTCTACAAAAGAACAAACAAGACTGACTGTAGTATTATCTCTAACAAGATCTACTTTAAATGATGGTTTAGATTTTAATTCTCCAATGTCTGGTTTATCCATATTAGGATGAATTTCAGGTTCGGATCCAGTGTCCACTGTATGATTCACATTAAACTGTATTTTAATCCTGAAAAGGCTTTATTAATTAAATCATAATCTATGATAAAACATTCAAACTCACGTTTCATTGCCTGTTACTTTTGTTAAGGTAACTTCAGCGCCATTTAATTGTGCTTTAAAACCATCTAATTCTGTTGGGATTGTTTTGGCCTTTTGAGCCTTTCGTTCAGTCAATATTTCTTCTGTGAGGAACTCAACTAAATCTCGTTCACCTATAATAAGTAATTTTAGTACTTATGGGTAGAATATTCCGGCAAATGACCACTGTGTTACGAGCATGTTGTAACATACAAACCTAATCAGAAGTAGATCATGGTTTTGTGAAGACTTACCTTTAGTGTGTGCACAACGAGCAGGTCTTTGCTGGTACTTGTTTTTTTCGACAATATTATTTAATTTTACATTTGCGTTATTACTTAAATACCACAGGTTACGCACGGCGGTGTGTTGCTTATTTCCGTGATTTAATGTAGCACTGCTTTTGAAAATATTTGTCAGGCATCTTAAATTGCTTCTGGACATAATTTTTAAGATGTTACTCATTTTTTATGTAATATTTTACGTTTTTTTACAAAAAAATCACAATATTAGGTTAAAATTAGTGAACGTGCAAGGTCGCGCTAATACTTTATTGCCAACCGCAAAAAAATAGTAGATTTCTGTAGGGAAAAGTGTGCAGGTTCACCAAACTAATGAAATTTATTTTTAAATATTTATNGTACATTACTAATTGTTGAGTGCAGACTTTGTTATTATTAGTAACTTCTTCCGGGTTACGCTCTGGTCGGTTGGCTTTAGTTGACGTTTCGCTGTTCATGCTGTTAGCTTCTTCAGAAGGATGAGTAACGTCAAGTAAAGCCAACCGACCACAGAAGTTCCTTTATTAATAATTTTTTACTTCAGGTGATTTCGGTTGCTCAGAGGAAATACTAACAATAATTTCAATGCTGCAAGTTGAATCAGTTTTTACAAAACCGTCTACTGGAAATATGATTGCAAAGTCAAGGATACAAAGAAGAAATTTTGAGGTTGCCGAAGGGGATTTAATAACATACTTGAATATATATTCAGCGTTTGTTAAAAGTGAAATGGATAAAGGATTTTGCCACAAAAACTTTATCAATTTCAAAGCAATGAAAAGAGTGGCAGATGTAAGAAGTAATCTCCAAAAAATGGCCCTTAACTACAACATACCACTTATTTCGTGTCAAGGTAACTATTTGTAAATAAATAAACAGTAACATCGCTCTATATTATCGATTATTTCGTAGTTAATTAAAGGTGCTTTATATTGTTAAAACATTGTCTTTAGGTAATACAGAGGCTATATGTAAATGTCTAGTAACTGGGTTATTTCCTAATGCAGCCTATTTACATTACTCTGGCGTTTATAAGACAGTTCGAGGAAACATTGAACTTTATATTCACCCTGATAGTGTTTTATACACTATAGAACAACCCCAATGGTATGTTATTGTCTTATTTTTTACAGAACTTAATTTGGAATGAGGAAAAAACTCAAGCAAATTGAAGAATAAAAACTTTTAATTTATTTACGTAATCATGCTAACGTTTCGCTTTACAGTGTTAAATCTTCATTAGGGTAGATTATGAAAGTCACGCACACAGTCTATCTCGATGGACCTTTAATACTGTAAAGGGAAATGTTGACATTATTATATAAAGAAATAGTTTTTATCCCTTTAGTTTTCTTGAGGAAGAATTGCGAGGTATACTCAATATGGAATAATTTTCTTTTAGGTTACTCTTTTGTGAAGTGGTACAAACAACAAAACTCTTTATGAGGGACTTGACTGTTATAAATAGTGACTGGTTATTAGAGTTGGTTCCACATTTTTATCATAAAACAACTTGTTATAATTACTGACTGTTATTGTATTAGAAAAATTGAATTATTTCAATAAATATTTGTCTAAGTAATTATTACCTTATCTAATTAAAAGAATCAGAAGGCATACAGCTCCTTCAAAAGATCTAGCGACAAAATTCAAAATTGAATGACTACCTTAAACGTTTTAGTTTCAGGTTTCATTGTAATATTTAGTGCAACTTGTTAATGTTTTAGATGAACCAGAACCAACCCCTTCATCCTTTTATATACACATGCACCTGCCCTATAATATCCTATACCTTAATTGAAAGAAAATAAATCCTACCTTTACTGCAATGTTATTGTGCTGCATATGACGAATTTCCCCAGTGGGTGCTCCTAAGACTTCCTCTCTCCTTTTTCTTTGGAATCAGGCACAGTCACATACCGTAAATGCCTATTTAAGAAGGCATCGACACTAGACTACATCGCAGTAAAAAAAACCTTTGCACATTTAAAACTATTGTTACTGATTTGGTTACAGTAAAATATCTTGGATATCTAAGAAATTGATTAAATAATTTGGAATAATAGTTTTTTTACGACGATTTCCCGCGACATCCGCCATTTTAACTAATTTTCATTGTTGTAAAGTTCATATGATCACCACAACTCAGAGCCTACTTTAATCATATTTTTATTAAAAAATGAATTAGTTGCATAAAATGTAATATTAATATTCACTTAATGAAACTAAGTTTCACATAAGCTATGATTACGGGCCAATTACTTAGGACATTTTTTGGCCATCTTATAAAAACCGGCAGTAAGAAATAGGAAGTTTTTTACAAATAACAGAAAAAAAGTATTTCTTCATAATAATCATTGTTTGCTACGATTAATGCTTTAATGTGAAGATAATATATTGCAAAACACATACCAAAACGTTTAAAGGATCCAAATGAACTTTAAAAACCAATTTAAATTAGTTAAAAAGCGAATTATGAAAAACACACAGTATACGTCAAAACTTCGACTCCGTATCACTGAGCATGCGCGATGCTCTTTTTGATTATTTCTAGCATGGCGGTATTTTTAAGATAACGCGCTTGTTTAATAGTTTTAAAATGATTAAATCAAATTAAATGCATAATTAATAAAATATTTATTGTGTATTAACTTCTCGCAGTATAAATGAAAAACATTTACTTCTTACTTTCTAATCTTTGCTTTTTTCTCTCCAAATATTCTTCAACATTATTATATTTTCTTTTATATAAAGAATAAATAACATTATCGTTACATTTAACACAAAAATCTTCAGTTTTTTTAATTTCTTCAAATAGTACATCTAATAATTTACAAATATTAACATCTAAACCGGTTGGAGACACAGTACAGAAGTAAAAACTGCTTTCAGTTAGAATATAAAAATTTCTTTGTAAACTAAATGCAAGAATGGTTTCCTTTAAGTCGATATTCGAAAGAAATTTGCTTGAAATGCTCTTATCACTGTTTATCTCCGCAAAATGCACTTGAATACTGTTACAGTGAAGTAAATTAATTGCAACATACACAACGTTACCATTAGACATAACTTCCATTTGAGTTATTGGCAAAGTATAAATTTCAAGGTGTTCAGAGTCTACATCTGCATACATTTTTTCGAGGGCAGCTTTACTTTCTACTTCATCAGCAAATTCCATCGTATCTATGCAATGCAATTCATTTCCAGTGATAATGTCCCAAAATCGAATTGTACCATCTCCCGATGCAGAAATCACAATAGTGCCAACAATTTTAATATTTTTAACAAATTCAACATGACCTAAACAATAACTGAGAATATTATACGAGTTTGGGTAGTAGCTTACACGAATTTTTTCATCTCGGTCGCATGTAACTATGTACTTCCCACAGTCACTTATAGCAACATCTAGAAGTATACTCAAGTGCCCCAAAATTAACTCTGGCTCGTCATTCTTCTCGTTGAATTTGTATAAATTAACGTCTCCACTTCTGTCAGCAACTATCACTTCGTTTATATGTGAAAAGCAGACTTTACTTACAAGACGATCGGTTACACAATTTCGTAAGACGCTTAATTTTTTATCGTAAAGTAAAAGCTGTTTATTACTAGTACAAACAGCTATCAATTCACCGTCTTTGGAAAAGGCCACGGATATAATATCTCTCTGCTCCTTCACGAGTATTTCTTTTCGAGTTTTATTTATATTTGGGGGCAAAACAGGGTCTGGAATCTTGGTAGTTTGTAACTGTTGTAATTCGATATTAAATAGGTACAAATTATTTTTAATGCCGATTGCAATCGTGTTTTCATGATGAATTAGGATCATTTTGTTTGAATTTAAAAAAAGTGGGTAAAAATACCTAAAATAATAACGTTAAATTAACCTCACTTTTCATTTACACTGTCTGTTGACATCGACATAACCTTACTTTAAAGTGGTGGAACGTTAAAATGTCGGCAACATATTGCATTTAAATAGAAGAAAAAAAGAAAAAATGTTATCAAAATGCCAAAAAAGTTAAGAAGTGCTTTTATAATTTAATAAGACAAGCGTTAATGTTAGCCGGAATCCTGTAAAACCTAAATTCACCGAGAAAGGATATGGATAGAGTTCTCAGAGAATGGGCCCCTTTAACAGATTTGTTTGCTAAACTTCCCAGTAAAATTCAAAATGGACTATTTACAACAGATTTGAAGTTAACATGTCTAGATGTTTTGCCAGAGTTTTTAGCTATAGGTACAAATTTTGGCCTTGTGTATTGGTATGATAGAAAGAAGAAGACCCTACAGAAGTTAAGATGTGAAGTAAGGTCCTTTTCATTTATAATTACACAGAAATTTATATTGAATTGTTTTCTTTAGAATGGTCATGCAGCAACGACGTTTGTCAAAGTTGTATCTACAGTAGATTACATGGTAGCATGTGGAAATAAGGATGGAAGCATAAGTATTTTTCAAGTACCGAAAACTCCTGCAGAATCCCTTCCAGAAAGTTTAAAACCAAAAAACAAACAAATAGAGAGGTACACAGTATCTGATTTGCATAAATCGTCTATATCTGCGTTAGAGTGGTCAAAAAATGGAATGAAATTGTTTTCTGGCGATAAATCTGGGAAGATTGTATTAACAGAGATAGACTTTTACATGGTAAGTGTAAGTAATGCTTTTTATATTATACAATTGTGAAAGCTATTTTTGTTGTAGCACATATGCAAATCATTAGAAATTTTAAATGAGTCTTATGAGGTAGTTCAGTTGAATTTTTATCAACAAATGCTTCTTGTGTCAACTACTTATAGGAGTATAATTTGCAAAAAAGCTGATAAATGGAAGGTATCACAAGTGGGAAAGAAAGATAGAAAAATGTAAGCTTCCTTTTTTAATTTTAAATAATTTATTCCATCAGCCATGTTACTACCATAACAAATTTCTTTTTAAAGCTTTGTATAGCATAAACAATTTAATTATTAATTTTTTTCTGTGAGTAAGAAATGCATGTTTCAACCTGATAGATGTAAATTAATGGAATAAATTATAGTTTAGGTAACTTTGGGGGCATAATTCACTCAAATACACATTGTCCAAATGATGCAGTGATTTACTGCACACGCCCAGGCCTTAGAATATGGGAAGGAGATCTCAATGGAAATGTTTTAAAAACATTAATTTTTAAGGTACTTTTTTAATTAGAGGGAATGGCAGAAATGTATTAGTCAACAAAATTTATTTCAGGATATCCTTGTACAACCCATACCAGAAATAGAAATAATTAATCCTATTCCTGAAAATATAAAAAGAAATAAACCACAAAAGGAAAAATCCTTTGGATTAGTTTTACCATTTAATGAAGAGTCCTTGGTTATTTATAATAATGACTGTTTGNGTGGTCGAAATATATACAATAACCTATGAATAACGTTCCACATACTCCTGCTGCGATTGTTAGAACCGTCTTGGAAACCATTGTAAATTAATTTAATATATAAATTTTCTAATGTCTAATAAGATCACTGGCGTCCATCACGTTTCTCACGAGAAAGATAAATTTCTTTCAGGATATCCTTGTACAACCCATACCAGAAATAGAAATAATTAATCCTATTCCTGAAAATATAAAAAGAAATAAACCACAAAAGGAAAAATCCTTTGGATTAGTTTTACCATTTAATGAAGAGTCCTTGGTTATTTATAATAATGACTGTTTGTTTGTTTTGAATCCAAAAACATTAACTGTAGAGTCAGTTTTAAGTAGTTTACGAAAGTAAGTTATTTAAAACAATTATCTGCATTACTTAATGATGTTATTGTATTTCTTAAAAGCATAATAAGCGTTGGGGTAACCAGGAATGAAATATTCGTTTTGGAAGGCGAACGAAGTCTCATACGACTGTCATTTCTTCCAGAATCAATTGAAAGTAACTAATAATATATTGTTAAAAAAAAAATTTTTATTATAAAGACTTTGTAGACATTCCGCAACATCCAGCGGGGATTCCCACAGCAAACAACGCCTTTTTGCCACTCTCAAGTTCATTAAAAGAATTAACAGCTAAATTTCAAACAGTGAATATTCCACCCCTTTTGGAGACAGTGGTAACTAATGGCTTTAAGGATTACCAAGTGGACTGTATAACCAATGCAGAAGAAGCCAAAGAATCTCCAAAAAAACAACAACAGGAAAATTGTGATCATTTAACCGAAAAAATCAACGAAACGTACAAGAAATTAGAGAGATTGGAGAAGGCTGTTAAAGATGTGCATGAAAACGATAATATTCTCTACAAACACAAGAGACATAAAGGGAAAGATCCAGAGCCAAAGAATCATTCTGATGAAGTGTCTCTCATTAATATTCCAACAGTGATGAGTGTAAGCACTGTGGGAATCTTGCCAGATTTAAGAAGTTGTGAGGCCATTAAATCTGATATAGAAGAAAAGGAAAAACTTCTTGCAGATATTTTGTGTTTAAACACTATTAAAATAAACGAAGAGGCCCTCAAAAAATGTATGTCAAACTCTGATGAAGTCGGAAACAAAGCAAAATCAATTGGTACCAGTTTCAATGACGATGATCTAGGTGCATGTCAAAAAGACTTTCATAGTGGTAATAAAAGCGAAAACGTTGACAAAAAAAAGAATCAAAATGACGATAGTTTATCTAAGTCTATTGTATCCTATTTAAATAAAATCAATTCTTCTCCTCCTTTAAAAAGAACACCAATGCATAAAGATATGGAGGAGAATTTTACCTCAAAAGAAAGTACTGGCAGTGAAGAAGCTAGTAACAAGTCAATAAATAATGTACCAGGTGAATTTTTATTTTGATTTATAGTAGACAAGTATTAATTTAAAATTTGATTTTTTTATTTAGATCTTATAAACATTCCATTTGATTGGAAGCTGAATAGAATACAAGTAAAAGATGAAGAAGAGCTTTTATCTGACACATCCTTAGCAGATTGGGAATTGTTATAATCAAATGCTGTGATTTTAGTTTCTATAATTTGATTGATATGTAATTGATTTATTGTGCTGTACGAATTACTTTAAACATTATGTGTATAGTACTGGTGATTTTACACTATTTTTATTTCTATTTTGTTATTCCTAAACGAGATTTTTCAAATCTAATTAATTATATCCATATATTTTTTTAAAATAGATATGTTCCTTATTCTATTGAAATATACATATATTATTTTAAAGTTTTTGAGTTTCATTATGTTTTTTGTCAAGTATTTCAGGAAGGAATAGAAAGAAAAGAATTTGAGAAATTAACTACTTTTTTTAAAACACAATTCTTGAACATTTTTATTCAAACAGTACTGTCTCGAAAATATTTGTTTTATTAACAAACGAGGCACTCAAAAAAAAAATGCTTCAAATAAATAGAAATAAGAATACACAACAGCATTATTAATGAAATATGTATATATATGTGATCCATACCTAGAGGGATGATGTTCTAAATCTGCAGACTAATATAATAATAATTGTTACTCTACATCCTCTTCATGCATTTTATCTTGCTTCAAAACTTTTGGAGCAACGGCAGGTAAACGTTGTACTAAAGCATGAAACACTTCTGGAGGAAGGGTCTGTTGCAAAACTTGAAGCAACTCATTGGGCTGACCACAAACTGCCACTGCATTGGCAAGATGATCGATACCACCATCGACATCTCCACTAGCTAGCAGTTCTTCTCCTAATTGTACTTCTTGCAAAAAGAACCTTTGCACTGCCTCATGATCTTTCATGTTAGGGAAAGTAGTTGCAGTACGTCTAGCATTAGCTGCCTCTTTATTTGCTCGCCTTCCTAACGAAAGAAAACAGGGTACGAGTAAAGACTATGTAATTTTTATTGGAGTTAACCTAACTTACGCTCACGTAACTTCTTTTTGAAATCGGGATCCATGTGTCTTTTGTGGTCGAAATATATACAATAACCTATGAATAACGTTCCACATACTCCTGCTGCGATTGTTAGAACCGTCTTGGAAACCATTGTAAATTAATTTAATATATAAATTTTCTAATGTCTAATAAGATCACTGGCGTCCATCACGTTTCTCACGAGAAAGATACACGCTTATCTTACTTTTGACCTACAGTTTACTTGTACTAGTCAAAATTATATTTTGTAATTTTGAATATATTTTGATTTATTGAAGTTTTCACTGATTAAGTTTTGATAGGAACATTTAACAAAAAAAGTTAAAAATATGGCCCACTACGAATGGGTGCTCGTCCTTCTCAACCAAAATTATGGTCATATTATGGTTTTTAAGC